GCAGATTCGAGATATTGTAGCGCCTTTCTTCGGATAAATATATAAAATAAATTATCACCATCGTATTTTTTTTATTTTTATGCTTTTATAGAAGCATTTAATAGATCGAAACAGTTAATGGCGACTTTGACGATTTTAATACCAATTCAAACATTCGCTCTAATTCGACAGTTGCATTTATTAAAAATTTATAATAAATTAATTGTTTTTGTTTTTTTAATAAATTGTTGAATATGTATTTTTGCGAAAACAAAACTATCTCTGTTAAATTTATATTTGTATTCGTGATACTATTTCTATAGCCATTTTTCATGGGTTGATTGGCTTCGGGATATCTAATTTCATTGGGTTTGGTTTTTGCGATTAATGCCTGCGGACTTGTCTGATCGAATAGTTAATTTCAAAAATAAATACAAGACAGATTTATTTATATAAGATGTGTATTTATTTATAGAATTTTTTATAATAAAACATTTGTTAATGCAATAGTTGAAAATAACAATTAAAATATATTAAAGTGTCTCTCTCTCTCTTTCTCTCTCTTATCTGTCTTTTTTAATTCGAGAAACTCCAAAGCTCTTGAATAAGATGAAAACTCGGTTTCATTTTTCGTTCCTATTGTAATGCTTATTTCAAATAACATCGCTCGTACAAGCGAGACAGTTTTGTGCTGGCTTAAAAAACCCAGAAAAGCGAACCGAGCGTGATTGCGCCGCAATTATGAGAAGTAACGTCGCGCGTTATGACAAAATGTCGAAGAGAAAAATAATGATGGAAAAGGAGACCGCGGAGCGGCGTACTCCGACATTGTCTCAATTAATGGGCCGTACTCGAAAGCTCGAAGAATTGTAAAAAAGGACAAAAAGAGAAAAAGAAAGAACGAGAGAGAAAGAAAGAAAGAAAGAGAGGGAGAGAGAGAGAGAGAGAGAGAGAGAGAGAGAGAGAGAGAGAGAGTAAGGGAGGGAGAGGGAGGGAGGAAGAGAGGGGAAAGAAAAAGAGAGAAAAAGACATACTGCTATGGTGTAATTGAATAATTAGTCAATTTATGTAGATAATATGAAGAAATGATTCTTATTCCAATTTAATATTGGTTTTTTTCGCTTTTCACATTTTTCTCTTTTATTTAATGATTTTTGCAGAATGACGAATGTATTTAGATACAAATGTATATATATTAAATGAAATTACTCTTACAACTTATATTTACCTTATTACTGTAACATCGAATTATTATCATAATTCGCTACAAGTACTAACATTTGCAAAAATATAATTATATATATAATATACTAAGTGTATACTATGTTACAAAATTGCCATTAGGTTTCCATTACATTATAACGTTTGTAGTAATACTGCGCGTGAATATCGAAAAAATAGATAAAGACAGGAAACAAAATACTTGACATCTATTTCATGAAATGATTTTTTGTCAGCTAAATGCCATTTAGCCAATTTGCATTAACAAGCTGCTTGGCATATTCACTCACCATAAATCTATAAATCGAGTTATTCCTGAATGTAGTTATTAGGAATATATTAGTCACGAGTGCTGTATAAACATTATCCGACGAAAGTTATTTCCCCGATTGGATGGATGACTTTTCTACTAACTTTCTATCTCTCATGCTTTTTAAAAATGTCACATATAGCTACATATGTAATATGGATAATTATTCATCAATAGATTTATCATTGCATTATCATAATAGATTATTATTGTAAAGATTTAATGCGTTAAGTATGTTCCTATCTAACCGACATTATAGTATATAAATCAACAGTAGATATGTTTGTATGTTTTTATATATAGGTAGTTGTCTATGCATAGGTAGTTGTCTGTGTATATATTTGCATTTCTAATTAAAAAAAAATATGAAAGGGAAGAATTCAAATGACAAACAGCATTATCTTTTATGTTATAAACAGCCTCTCTATTGGCTCGTATCTGCTGAGAAATTCTCACAGAACTTGGGGAAACGTGTCAGCATAAAAGAAAAAAATGTCATGCTGGAAAGACGCGCACAAAGATTTCGAGACTTTCGTTTTCACTTTGAAAGAGGAAAGATTGAAAAGGGACATTATAAAAGTGTATTTTATTATACACGAATATCGCTATGTGTTTATTGCTTTTCTCGATCGGTAGATAACTATTGTGCGAGTAGAAAACATTTTACTACATATAAAGAGCTTTTATTTGAAAAGAACCGATTATAAATCGTGACTAATGTCAGTTATTATATGAACGATACGAAGGAAAGTGATGTATAAATAAATCATTTTATCATATATGTCAATGTATAGGTCATATGCCGTGACTTGCATCGGAATAGAGAGATTAAAGAGCACAATGTATGTATTAAGGAATTCAACAAAAGATTTTCGCATGCGTAAAAGCAACAAGACGAATAACTTTTATTCGCAACAAGATTTCATGTACATATATATGTAATATCAAAATTTTAAAAGATTAGTTAAATCGAATGTAATTCTTTTTTACTTTTTTGATTTATATTTATTTATTGCAATAAAAATTGCAATGTGCTTTTCCAAAATAAATAAAAAAAATATTAAAAGCTTCCTCTTAGTCTTTCTCCATAAAATTCGTTTGAGCTCACCCACGCCCTTTAGCATCGACACGAGCCGTTGTTTGTCTACCATCATTGGCGCCGCGCGATATACGTTCTGCAGAAATCAAAAGCTACACGAAAATTTTAAAATTTATTTTGTTCTACAAAAATTGTATATCCGTCATTGGATAATATTTCAAGCATGGAAATCGAAAAATTAGTTATTTGATTAAGAATTTCTGAAACTTTAAAAAAATTTCTGTAAAGTTATTTGAATAATGAAAAATGAACTGCGTTACAGCGCGATACATAGATTTTGAAAAAAAAAACATTCGACGCCTATGGGATAAAACGATCACGTAAGAGACGACGTCCGTTCGCTTGTCTTTTCGTCGAGCGAACCCATACCCGTACACGGCAGTCGCTCTCTGCAAACGGAAGCCATGAATCTTTATTAAATCCACGAAAATGTCGAAGCGGTCGCGTGGCTCGTGAAACGTGCGTTGCTTTCTATGGTCCCTAAAAAAAGTATTTATTCCTCCCGTGCTCCCCTTTCTCGTGCAATGTTGCGCGATCTTTGATTTACTTTTTGGCTATTTATATTGTGTAACACGCCACGCAGCACATACATATGCATGTATATCATGCGTTATAATGTGACTTTTTTTTTATTTTCGGACGCACTGCTCTCGTCAAACGAATAATCGCGAAAATTGTACGCAAGGCAAAAATGGACATGATATTTAATCCGATACGATAAATAACTGTCTTCACATAGGCGGAGATATATTTTTCATTTTTATGTTCGTATAATTTATTATTGAAAATTATATTTGCATTTGTAATTTTGTCAAATATTGTATACGTATTGTCAAATATTGTATACGTATTGTTTCCTCAATATCTACGATGTATCCTCATATTCTACGATTGTTTTCTACTTTACAAAATATATGTGTGAAGTAGAAAGTAAAAATTTACCAATTTTATATGCGAATACATAGAAAGATGCACGATGCATCGCTCGATGATCTGTATTTCGTGCCGGTCTTTTTAAAAAGTGATATTATCAGTGATTTATTTCTGATCTTTTTGCCTCTACGTGCTGGCGTTATTACTATCATAAATTCAGGCATGTCCACGATATGTTTGATATATCTGACCTGACCTGACCTATTCGCTTGTCTTCCAATTTCCATCTTCCACACATTTTAGAAGTTTTGACATTTCCGTGCAAATAATGAAACTTCCCTAGTCAATGTCATTCATTTCTTTGTATTATTCTCACAGATTCATCGCTTGACGAATTATACCGCTTTCTCTATGTATGTAATGCTGCATTAATGTATAATTCTATTTCGTCATCTATTTTTATCTGTGTAATAATTTAACATTTGAGTTTATTTTTTGTCTTTTTTAGAAATCAAAGAAATCTTACTCACAATATCCAATCATCAAATATTTGCACTAGAATTTCGTAGTAAAGAAAATATAATTGGTATCTTCGAAATAAAGTTCATTCAATGATATAATAACTGAGACATATTTTTTATTTCAATCTGTATTGTGTTTTTTTTTTGTATACGAATGTAAAATACTTCAACTTCATTAATATAATTATCAATTTCATAAATCTTATTGATTGCTTTCTGCCTCTCTCTCTGTTTCTCCTATTTCCTCTCTCTCTCTCTCTTTTTCTCTCTATCTATCTATCTACCTATCTATCTATCTATCTATCTATCTATCTCTGTCTGTCTTTCCTTTCTCTCTTTTTTCTCTCGTTCTGAAAATTTGTAAAAATTTAAATAAAGCTACATAAAATTTCAACAAAAAAGGTCCTAGTTAATTCTATATTTAATAATGTTACAATACTCATTAAATTGATAGTTTAAATTGAATAAGCGAACATATATTGCGCAAGTACATCGCTAATTTTATCTTTTATCTATTTTTTACGATAATTAATATTTGCGATAATAATGCCATACTATAAAAGAAGTATTTTTTTTTTAAAGATCGATCAGAAAAATTGATAACGAGTGTTCGGTAACTAACGACTAAGACATTAGGAAGTTGATCCTGCGAATATAGGAAACGTTTGTTAGACGGCTTGTATAAGAAACCTTACATATTACACTTTATATTACATGAGATGCATAAATTCTTGCAAAAGCTAATAAACTTGATCGCATTTAAATGACGGGTGGAATCGGGTGGCTCGTTCGTCTTGACAGTGAAGCAACAGCTAGTAGGGGTGGTTTATAGTGAGTCGAAGAAGAGTAGGAAGAAGAGCCTAGAGTGGGAGGTAATGATAGAAGAGAGTAAGAGAGGGAAGTGGAAAATGTATATGTGAGACAGAGAGAAAGAGAAAGAGAGGGGGGAGGAGGAGAAGAGAATGAAGAACGGAAGGAGAAAGGGTATGTCTACAATGTAGTGTAAGAGCGTCGCTGTTGATATTAGTGGTAGTAGTGTACACACCGCGTTTAAGCTCACGGGGAAAACTGTAGGAGTGCGAACGCGAGCTTGAAGCGCGGGTGCGGACTTCAGTCGCGTGCGACATACGCTCCCGGTTGCCACGATCCGTAATATTCGCGTCGACTGTTTCCGATTCAACTGAAAATGAATTAATATAAAAATGAATATTGCCATATTGTAATGTGCATGTAGAATTGATTTATTGTATGAGTTATTAATATTTTCGAATCTTCAGCGAATGAATTATAATGGATTATATGGATATATTGTAATAAATTTGTACAATACGGACACAATTTGAGTTATAATCGGGATTAGTGAGTTGGCAAAAGATAAACTGAAAACTGCATATTGCAACAATAAAATACGATGTGAGTGATACATGCAAGAATCATAGCAATAATGCAGTGAGAGCGCTACGCAACTTTTTGGATCGTATCGAAATTAACGAAATCAAACAAATGAAGCATGATTTTCGTGGTATAATTTGATGACTTATTTATGTCTTATTAGTGAGTCCCTTTTGACCGAAAATATTAAAGTTTTTCACAATAAATATCGTATAAAGAGAGAGAGAGAGAGAGAGAGAGAGAGAGAGAGAGAGAGAGAGAGAGAGAGAGAGAGAGAAAGAGAGAGCGAGAGAGAGTGTGTGTGTGTGTAACATAGATAAAGAAAATAAGAGCGCTTTGCAAATAATAATCGTTCGTATAAAAAAATGAAAAACAAATCTCTTCCTACTTTGATAAGTCGAGATAGCGCAATAAAAATATCGTATATATTTTTTGTATTTGTCTTTAATAAGTAATAAATTCAAGTTATATGAAAAGACGCGTTCTCTTATCCGAGTCAACTTGTTTTTGCAAAACAAATGTCATAATCTTTAATTGATTAAATGCAAATGTAATCCATGTTCGATTATATATTAATAAAATATTTTGTAATAAAATATTTTTACTCATACACTAATAAATATTTATTAAATTTTTGCACATATGAAATAATCAACTATCGCTAAAAAGTTTAAAAAAGTGATTAGTGAAAGTTAAGTGGGGGCGGGGGAGATATTTAAATTTTTATCGTACATCTTGGAAATTGTTAATAATTATGAGGGATAAATTTACATTTAGTGTGAGTATTTATTTATGTATATATTTTATAATCAATTATATTTTCCATAGAGTTGTTATAATTGACAGGAAAAATAAAAAAAGGATACAAATTTCTAGTCAATATTTAATTTATGATCATCAATATATAGAAATATATAATGTAAAGCGCGCGTAGACAATTCGAGATCATAGGTCATAGAGATTGTAGCATTTTCTCTTATGTTAAAGCCAATCATGTCATTTCGTGCACACTGAAAATTCAGTGCGCTTTATCACTTTGCTACTTTATCATCACATTTCTACATCAATTTATAAAGTTCTTTTGAAGAAAATATTGATATACGTTGTTAATAAGACAATATACAAAATTATTTATATAATAAAAATAAATACTCAGTCACGTAATTTATAGTCGGGAGTTCCGGATATGCATGAGAGCCTCTCTAGTTTTCCGGAACAGTTTGGAGATGGCCCGAGAAAACCGGAAATAAAGCCAGAAATTCTGAAGGAGACAGATAGGACCACGGACAATCTGAAGTGCGGCTGGTACTGGTTCAGACCAATTTATTTGCAGAAATTTCGCACCGCAAAATGGGCACTTTTCTGGTTATGTTGGGCAGGAGCTATGCAAGGTATGTACTATAGCTTAATTTTTCGTGTCAAATTAGTATGAATTAGTGTGGATCTCAGTGAAAAAATGTGTCAATGGATTCTATATTTGCGCCATATAAAAATGAAAATATCATCAATAATATCATCAATAAAAATGAAAATATCATCAATAATAACGAAATAAAAACATTAGTCGCAATTAACATTTTTTAATTCATTCCTTTAACTTTGTTATTAGAATTTGTACGTAAATGATTAAATTTTTTCGATTATTCGAGATTTTCTTCTTCATTATCTCAAATATCGACGATAATATTTATAAGGAAATCTAATAAATCGCAGCTTTGTTAACATAATTTTTTGATAACAATATTTGATATGAAGCTATATAATATTGACAGACATTAATAGTCATATGTTCGATTGTAATTTCAAATTTTTATAGGTACTGTAAAGATAGGTGTAAAAAAATGATAACAGAAAATTGAATTTATCCTGTCGATATGAAAATTTACAGAAATAATATAGAAATAGTATATATGTTTGTTAAAGCGAAACAATCACATAAAAGATTTCATCAATTAAGCAACATATAATTATAGATAATTTGCCAACGTAAGGCATTATTATTGTTATTTTTATTATTATTAACATTACTTTCTTATTATTCTTTATAAAATTTTTATTTTGTAAAAAATTATTATTGTTAAAATATTATTGTATATTAACATGTTCGCTGCTAACTACGAATATACTCGTAGTTGGTATTTGAGCTTTACAAGCCAACTACGAATTTTCGATATTCGAATGTCGATTACCGACCTCCTATGGCAAATTAATATGCTTATACTATGAATTAACTCGCGTTTGGCATATGAGGTTGGTCCGAATTCGAATATATTCATAGTTGGCTTGTGAAGTTCATATACTATTATACGAGTATACTCGTAGTTAGCAACGAACATGTTAAAATTTTCAACAAACGGATGTTTGGATGGATTTATCAAACAGATTATTTCTCTCTTTGGATTTATAATAAATAATATTAAATACGTCCTAAAAGAGCTATTTATTCAATACTTCTAATATGACTAATATAGTCATAATACATTATAATATTATCAAGTTTCCATATATTAACGCATAAATTATATAAATTATATATGTATATAAAATAAGTTTAAAATATTATTTATGACAACTATACATATACAATATAATTTATAATTATTAATAAGATTTTATTCAGCAATTATAAAATTATGCATATATATATAATCTTTAAATCAAAATAATCTTTTTTGAATAGTGAATATTGCAAAGTTGATTTTATATACGTCGCAAATGAGCAATTGGTTTGTTCATTATTTGTACCTTGGTTATTTCAGGAATGGTTGTGAATGGATTTGTAAATGTTGTCATAACAACGATAGAAAGAAGATTTGGATTAAAATCATCGGAGTCTGGGTTGATAGCGGGTGGATATGACATTGCTAGTTTCCTTCTTCTCGTACCAGTAAGCTATCTCGGTGGCCGTACGAAAGCATCGAAACCGAGGTAGGCATGCATGCCATTGTCTTATGCATTAATATTAATACCGATATCCCGCTTCTATGCTATGATTCTCATAAATATGTATTAATCTTAATGTCAGTCTGTCCGATATTGTCGACGTTAATTTCTATTCTGTTTTTTGGTTACAACGACCTACCTCCAAACTTTTGTTATAATCGACAATCGATAGTTGTATGAAGATTTTAAACTTCGACGGTCGACCAACATTGACCTTTTATAAAATTACTCTCAATTTAAAGAAATAATACACTAAAATTTAGAAATAATACACTAAAAATTAATAAAGAAAAAATACATATAAAACCTATACATTATGTTTTTAATCACAAGCTAAAATTTCAGAATAAAATTGTATATATATAAACATATACTAGAGAAAAGAAACTCTATAAAGTAATATCACAATCTTAATAATATTATTTTACATTTTTTATCCAAACTTTTTTCTTAAAAGCAATCAAAAATTGAAATCTGAGAAAAATTGATTTCCAAAATTAACATATTCATATAAAAGTATAGAAAGTATAGAAAAGTATAGAAAAGTATAGAAAAATAGTGGAATAAATTATTAAATTATATGTATAAATTTATCGATACTTTATAATAAAAATACAATATTTTTACTTATTTATTTATACAAATTATCAATTTTTAAATTTTTTCTTTTTATCATTTACATTTAATTAATTTTTTAAATTTTATTAAAACGCATTCGAGTTATATATTTTTAAGATAAAAATTTTTAATGCAAAACATTTTTCTGCATAAGTTATATAGGGGGGAGGGGGCTAATTAGTTTTTACATATTTTAAATTAATACTTAAAAACACAAATATATATTAGATAGATTATATGTACAAATTTATATCCATAATCTATATCCATTTACAAAAGATCTAATCGAATTTTTTTAATCGCGCATTGTGAGAAAAGTAAAGAAGCAATAAAACTAAGATTTCGAAATTAAAAAATTACAAACATATAAAATAACGTATATTATTAAAAATATTATCGATACTTAGCTTATATAATTTGTCAAAAAAGAAGGCTATAAAACTTTTGGATATATATAGCAACGCAATTTTTCACTTTTGTTTGCGATTTACTTTAAAGATACTTATCTCGTATTATACTACAAATCTTTAATTAATTCAGTTCGTGATATGCATTCTGAAATGTCATAGGTATATCGGCGTAGGAATTGTAATCCTAGGTATTGGAAGCTTGCTGTTTGCATCTCCACATTATCTTGCTGGACCATATAGAGGAGGTCAACAAACAGAAAACGTATGCCAAAGTGTCACTAATACGTCAAGCCATTCGGTAAGCGAGTTGAGTATTCTAAATCATTACAGCACGTATTCAAATTCTTTATTTACATATCGAGTTTAATTATTATATTAAATAGCGCGATAAGTTTGATACAATCGAGAAGAGATTAATACTCTTTAAAACATTTATATATACACGGAATATATACATATTAAATTCTCATTAAATTTCAAACCAAATTCTCATCATACGATAATAAACACAATGCATAATTAAAGTATACGTGACTGATCGAAACTTGTTTGTAATTTCGTGCTTTTCTCGATTTCCACTTTTATTCATGTAGTTTACCTAACCGACGACGCCAGATTTATCATTATTTCGGCCACTCAGATATCCTGCACGGATCAATCTACCGTTCAAGCGGAGCTAGAGCCTTACAGTGGCATGTACTTAACCATATTTCTGGTAGCTCAGCTGTTGCATGGTGCCGGCGCGGCGCCTTTTTATACACTCGGAGTGACATATTTAGACGAAAATGTTTCAAAAAAAATGTCCTCAGTGTATTTAGGTAAGACGTGATCTAGCGCATATATTACAATGTTACACACACACACACACACACACACACACACACACACACACACACACACACACACACACACACACACACACACGTCGTATCAATTTTTTTAATTGATCAATTTCAACATGTGAAATATATTGTTAGGTATTTATTATACTATGGCCATAATAGGACCTGCATTAGGTTACGTTATCGGTGGTGAATTACTGAAAATTTACACGGATTTTCTTACGGTGGATTCCACGATGTAAGTATTTCAATATTAAAATAAAGATAAATAGATTTATATATCTATATATGATATTGTTATCCTTTTTAAAAATAAATTAGATTTATTTTGAATAGAAAGAAAATTATGAGATGTGAAAAAAAGAATAAATATTCTATAATATTTGTACAGGATGGTTGGAAAAAAACAGGATAAACGTGTAACAGTCAGCCATCGGAATTTCTTGTTTTTTTTATCGTTTCGATATAAACGTATTTTCTACTTTTTTCCTACTAACACGCTAGAACACACGTTTAGTCGCGCGTCAGCGCAACTTTATTAAATTCTAGCGAGGATTTATTGGCTGTTTGCGCCAATCTGTCTGACGGCACATACGTGTGTACATATATGATCGTATGTACGGATATGATTACATGTGTATCGACATGCAGAATAACTCACTGATATGATGGTATGCAAATGCGCATATTTGTCATTTTCCAACTAGAATTCGAGAGACGTACATATAATGGTCATTCGTAGAAGCTTTGATATCAGTGGAGAAATATTCCCAGTAATATAAAACATCTGTTAATTAACGCGAGTAAAATGATAAAATTTGACAATCAATTGCTTCGAGTTCTAAGATGATTATCGAATCAAGCGATGTAATGCTCTAACTTTCATCATATTTTTATGTATTTATATGAAAAATATTTAAAAGAAAAATTTATTCAAGGAATATAAAAAACGTAGAGACACGTGCTTTGTCTAATGCATTGATGTCGTTAAAAATATTCCGCAAGATCATTAGAGCGTATAATGGGCCGAGATTAATAGCGCGTGTAACTTCATTGATATATAATATATAGAGAAAATGTCAAGCGGTGAACCAATATTTGACGATGACGCCGATGTTACTCTTCAAAACTGTCGGTTCATCCCCCGGTACTTAGGATACAATCAAGTTCCATTTATCTACGCGTCTCCCCATGGATTTTCTCCCCTACTACTCATACTACCCTTCATCAACTGTTGAGTCACTGTACCGCGCGAGAATTATATTAATCGTTATCAAAGCGACGATTTTTTTTATAATATACACCTGCTATCCGCCAGCAAATCAAGTTTCGAAATCTCGATTTTTTGAAGATAATTTTAAAGGAAACTTGTCGTTTTATTAAGTATAAATTATTATCCAAAAAAAAGTATTTACTTTCCAAAATTGTTGTATTGGAACTTATTCAAAAATTTTACGCCACTTAATAATATATTTTAATAATATATAATAAAAATATAATGAAAGTAAATCTCGATACAATTTTACATGTCATACACAAAATGACATTTTTACGGCTGCAATCATTCCTTTTTTTACAAGAAATACGATTCTCGAGAAAAAGAACACAAAAGTAAGTACGCGAAGTTATTCGCGTAGGGTATTGTCCTCCTACTGTTGCTCGTGAAAGTCGTTACATGTGCCGCGTTTAATTTCACAGGTAAATGAAAAGTTTTGCCGGAGAAGCAGCGGCAGATGCAGTTATAGTCCCAAGCTGGTGAGGAGGTGAACGACTCCTCTACGTATATTTTTCCTAGTTTTCCGCTTTCTTACTTTCGAGTTTCTTTTTACGATAAGTTTCATTGTCGCGTGTCACACTTTTCTAGCAAAGGAATAGAGTATTATACATATATATCGTTCCAGCGAATCAGATATCGATTTTTTCTTAAATATATCTGTAAATTATCAATTTGGTATATTCTTGTTTTTTTTTCAGTATACACTTTGAGATTGAAAGATACATTTATAAGAATTTATTAATTGATTTACAATATGATAAAATTTTTATCTCTTACATTGTAAAAGAATTCAAACTGTATATATATAATATATGTCTCTTTAGCAAAAAATAGATATCTCTTTCTCCTATAGGGAAAGAATATTTTTCTTTCACTATTTTTGCTATGATCGATCGATGCATTGCAAATTTGTTCGTATATTTAATGTAATATGTCAATTTACTTTGGCAAAATTAAGTCATTGCCAGACGAGAAATTAAATTATAATACGTATAAATAATAAATTCACAACATAAAAAATATAATATCTTAGATAATATCTTAGATGTACTTTTTTCTCTCGTATTATTATTTATCTTTTTTTAGTTAAAAAAGTTCGTCAAATATTGTTGTCAAATGTTCTTTTATTAACTCATATTTATTAACTCATATTTATCAAGATAAATATCGGGAGAATTAATCGATAATCTAGCTTTGTTTTTACATATTTATATCTGTTACTCTTAGAAGATTGAATCAGAATAATATAGAGAAAAAATATATCAGAGATTTTTCATGTATATGTGTATAAAAAGAACGAATTTTAAATTTATTTCCAAAGACATAAGATTTTCCAATATTTCCTAAATCTCTATCCTGAAATTGTTAAATTTTAGAATTGGACTAACTCCTGATAATAATGTCTGGATTGGTGCATGGTGGATTGGTTTTTTGGTGGCAGCTGTTATTTGCTTTATCATCGCTATACCCGTTTTAGCATTTCCAGCAGCTTTACCAGGTATTTATAATTATATTTGCTATAATATTTTTTAGATATAAAACAATTTGGAAATTAATTTAAGTATCTGTAAAATCTAATATTTGATGTTATTAAATTTTATTTTCAAAAATGAATGACTAGGATCAGAGGAGTTAGCTAAGGATAAGATATCAGAGGCACATGAAAAATCGACCCGATCTCCCACTGCGGAAACCAGAAAAGTATTTTCCAAAATACGAGAGCTGCCGCGTGCTCTAACTGAATTGCTCGGAAATCCAGCATTTTTTATGCTGAATTTAGCAGGTGCCAGTGAAGGACTGTTAATTGCCGGATTTGCTGCATTTCTGCCAAAATTAATGGAAAATCAATTCAGCGTCAATGCTAGTTCGGCTGCATTGTTGATGGGTAAATAATATACAATTCAATTAGATAATAAAAGAATGACTAGCAGAAGAGATCAGATTGTTTGTATAATGTATGTATATTAATTTAAGGAATTGATAAAGAATGAGGGATTTATAGAATTCTCAAAAATGAGAATCTATATCTTGGTAAATACACCAAGTAAAATATATCCATATGCCTTGTGCACGTTAAATTTTCGCAAATAATTAATCTTTAAGGAAAATTTACGCATTACCATCCGCGGTAACTCTTAATCGCTAGTTTCTTGTGTGCCATGTTATTAATTTAAGATTTATACAAAATGTATAAGTAATAAGATTTGTATGCAAAAAAATATTATACAGTATAAACATTTCGGTCTAGAGTTCCTTCAATAATATAAAAAGTTTAAGATTAGCTTCTCTGCTATGTTAATTTTCTGTTAAATTAACCTCATTTAATGAAGAGAGTTTAGATCGGCTGTGATCGAAACATTCAAATCGCATAGTATTTTTTTGTATAAATCTTTTGAAAGATTTGAAGATGCGTGATATAAAGAAAAAACTCATATAATGAAACGATGTTGCTCTGATTTTTAGGATTAGTAACTGTACCAGCAGGAGGCGGCGGTACTTTTCTTGGTGGTTATTTGATAAAACGTTTCAATTTGTCCTGTTCTGGCATTTTGAAATTTTGTTTGTCAACTACGGCTGCCTGCATAATTTTTACATTATGTTTTGCTCTAAACTGTCCAAACATAGATTTTGCTGGATTAACCGTTCCTTATCAAAATATCACGAGGTTTGTACAATTGATAGATTTATCGATATCAATTTATTTATATAATGTTTATATAATAACAGTTAGAGATACATCATCATTGTTGAATCGTGAATCATTATCAGAATGAGACCTATTTGATTGCATTTTTTATTACACGAATTGTGAATATCTTATTGCAGAAAAATTTCATTATCTTTGGAGAACGTCTGCAATAATGGTTGTGGTTGCTCCAGATTGCAATTCGATCCTATATGCGGCGTTGATGGAATCACATATTATTCACCTTGCCATGCTGGATGTTATCGTGAAACACCGATAAACGATGTTAAAGTTAGTGTATTGAATTTTATTTTTCTAAATTAATTATTACATTTATATTTCGCGAATGGATGTTATCTTACTTCTTTGTAAAAATAAATTTTATGGCATTTATTTTTCTACATATAGATATACACGGATTGTAGTTGTATAGATTCACCGGCGATGAATTTAACAACCGATGATAGTGGTGATATTGTTCGTTATCAAGCTATTAATACCACTTGTGAAAGCACGTGCTCGTACCTATGGTTATTTATCGTTTTGGCATTTTGCAATATGTTTATGACCTTTTTATGCACGATGCCAGCACTTTCGTCTACACTGCGAGTCGTGCGAGACGATCAGAGATCATTTGCTTTAGGCATACAATGGATTAAAGTTCGAATTTTGGGAACAATACCAGCACCGATGGTATTTGGCGCTCTTATAGATGATACTTGTATCTTGTGGAACGAAACGTGCGACGGTAGAGGAGCATGTCTCGTATACGACAATTATTATATGAGCAGGTAAGCAAATTATATAGATGGTAACTTGTTTGATTTGTGTGCTCACATACATATATTTTTCAGATACATGCTTGCCCTGGCATTTATAGGAAAGGCAGCTTCGCTTCTTTTCTTTTTTTTAGCATGGTGGACATATATCCCACCAGGAAGTAGAGGCATCGGTCAAAATTCCCGACAGCAAGCTACCGCTACTTTAACACTAAGCAACACATCTCAAGAAGTTCAAATAGTATCAACCACTATAGCATAAATTCGGGTTACTTTGTTTCGTAGGAAATTATTCTCTTAGAACTATTACTTTATAAAAATGATAGACATAATTGCAATTATATTACATGGACAAAGAAATGTCTCAACATATCTGTTTCTAGTAAGACAAACTCTGAGTCATAAAATAATTCCAATGTACAACAAATGTTATCACAAATGCATTAACAAATATTAAGATGAGATAAATGCTTATATGATAAAGTGCACAAAAGAATGGAAGTATAGATATTTCTCTGCGTTAAAAATGTAACAAATTTTTGATAATATTTCATACTTAAGGTTTGGAAGTCAATCAAAAGATATTAAAATCCTATATCCTAATTATCGTGATAAAAATCCTACAAAATCCAAAATTTTACATTTTCCTTTTCTATAACGAATAAAATCGCTGTACTTTTCATAAGCGCATAGAAATGCAATTGCTATTTATCAATTACAATTTATGCAGCTAAAAAAAACTTCCGAGCCTTATTTATAATAAATTTTTATAATCGTAACGTTTGCCGCACAATTAAAAACTAGTTAGTTAGCCTTATATTCCCTATAATAACAAATATTGATAATAAATATGGATAAATATTCAAAAAAGAAAGCGCAATTTACATAAATTTCGAAGAGACATTTCTGCCAATATATCAATGCTTTGGTGGTTGTCTTATATCATCGATTTAATAACAAATTTTTTACTATAATTATTTTTGTTAAATGGAAGAAATGCCAATATGCCTAGAGTATTTATACATTAATAAATAAAAAACTATTGAGATGTATTATATAGATTAATTTTTATTTTATATATATATATGTGTGTGTGTGTGTGTATGTGTGCGTGTGCAATGTGCGTGTGTGCGCGAGCGCGCGCGCGTGTAAGAATTTCACTTTTTCTTTTTCTACGAATGTTCTTAAAAAAAAAACTTGTAATTCTGAATTGAAATTACTAAATATTATATAAATATTAAAAACATATTAGTTTCCCATCAAAGATATGTATTTCTCACGAGTAAATTGGATAGTACATAACAAATAATGAAAATAAAATTAACACACATTGCATAATATAATATAATAATAGAATTACCAGTGTCTCCGAAATTTTGAAATAATTAACTAATTTGCGCAATATTTGAGAGAGAAAGAGGTTTAATATCAGATTTTAAATTTTTTAAAGTTTAAGATAAATATATCGTGCATATTGAGTTGTGTGCGTGTGTGTATGTGTGTTGACATATAATCGCAATAATTCGATTTCTTATCGGTTCCAATTTGCAACATGGCTTGATCGCGTGCACGTATATTTGCATATAGCAATAGTTAATAGAACAGGATGCGTAGGATATATCACATATCATTGATTGTTAGGCAAAAAGATAAAGAGAGGGAGTTAAAGAATGACAGGAAAAAGAGAAGGGAGATCTAGAGAAACCATAGACTCGTCTTCACGGTACTTTCACTTGAACTCCTTCTATCGCCATATAGAGATCTTCTAGACTCTGAGAACGGTACTCTTATACATTTTACGGAAGAAACATACAATCGAATTTGAATATTCTTTAGCAATTCGACTATTTTACTAAAAATGGCATTTTATTGGCTTTTGCAATCTTATTTTCTATTATGCACACTATTGGTCGTCAGTGTTTATACTGAAGAAATTTCTGTAAGTAAGAAAACTTAAATATTATTACGCAATATTTAGATCTGATTTTTTTATATATCAATGACATCAGAAACGAGAAACTATATAAATTTATGGAATATATTACGTTATCTTAATTTTCAAAAATTATGAAACATACTTTTTTCAAAATGTATAATTCAATTATTATTGTTCACAGAAAACCATACTGTCAAATGTTTCAACGAATTTTTCTTGTTTTAATCGGCCTATGGGATTTTATGCCGACGTCGAAGCAAATTGCAAAGTATATCACACGTGCGATGATCATGGAAATAAATTTAGTTACCGATGTCCCGAAGAAACGGCTTTTCGCCAGGACGCCTTAATATGTGACCACGTTCATCTCGTTGATTGCCGAGCAATCACTTATCTGTCAACACAACTTCAAAATGAAAACGCCGATAAGGAAAATGCGCACACGATGCATTTGACAAGATCACCAATCGATTCGCTTGATAATCATCGACACTCATTTTCACGTTCCTTCAGAGTAATTCAACAACCGGATAAAATGAAATCTGAAATAAATAAAGCCCAATCTGGCTTTGTGTTCAGTGCAAGTCTATTCTTAAGAGATAAGATACAAAATCAAACTGAACAAATCACCGATACTTGTACAACATGCAATACTAATTCGAAGAATCGCATGATAATTTCCACTTCTCGATCGCTTACAGAACAGATTAATTCTTGGAATTCACGTAACGATAAATCAATTCCGCCAAGACAGTCATTACCTTTATCGTTATCGGAGACTCGCGCTTTCGCGCGAGACAAAAGTACCGCGTATCGTTCGTTCGACTCGATCGCTAATTCTTCGCTCGTGAAAATGATATCAGAAGCTAATCAGCCTTTGTCTGTTCTGCATAAAGAATCTTCTTCCTTGAATTACAATAGTGACTATCATCCATATTCAGAAACTTTGAGGTCGATCCAGGCTAACGCTCATACGCTCAATATAAAGTCCACCACGGAAATACCCGTACATGCTTTAACGCTCTCCTTAAAGCCGTTAGTGCCAAATGAATTGGAATACGATCCCTACTATCCCAAAGAACCGACGTCTACTGAGGCATATTACACACCCAGCAATAGTAATAAGGTCAATAGCGTTCGTCTTTCCAACCAGACGCCACCGATAATCGTGCACCCTAATTTTTTCGAAATTCCATCTATACTGCCCGATCTGAATACTTTAGAGGATTTGGTCGATCGCCGAAAATTTTTTTATATCCCGCGCGCAAACATTAAATCGATGCACCGTTAATTACTCAATCTTCATATTTAAAATGTTATATGTGAAAGAAGTTTAAATTGCTTTACTGCGTTGCAAAATAAATTGTGTATTGTATTCGTCTGATGTGTGTGCGTTAATAATATATTGTTTGCGATTTATTTTAATACCTAAAAGTGATCTAACAAATATTGAATGTTGGAATTCGGGGCGATTCAAAAAGAATTTTCATCTCTTAAAGCAGATGGCAAACGAGTTGTTACTATGCTGAAAGAAATTATTTCATATGAAAAATTTAATTACGTTATATTACTGATGTTATTATTGATGCATCACCTGCTTGAATTCTGATGCCAATGATTTATGAATGGTGTTAAAAATTTCCCTGCAATTTGCTGAATGTTTATTGAACCTCGAAATATTTTAATTAATGTAGTCATTATTCCATTTTTATTGTAATATTTTGTTTGTAAGCGTTTAATCGCTGAAGTGAGTTCTAAAAGTAATTATTTATATTATATAAATACAATACACGTTCTAAAAATGATATATACGAAATTATAAAATTACAGAAAGAAAGAAACTACGGAAGAATTACAAAGTTAATATTCTAGATTAAATTCTCACCAGAATATGTAGTGATTGTTAGTAATTCTTGCCAAAATTTTGTTTTCAACGAACAGCGACATTTTTCTATAAGATATCGAATATATTCATTCTCTTGTTTGAAAAATTGAATATTTTTTTGCAATTCCTTAACTTGCGCTTGCAACTGTAGTTGTATGACTTCTTCCCTCCAGCGTTCAATATTTTCTTTTTTCAAATCTTGGATATCGTCGTCATGTATCTTCTTATGCATCGTCTGATTTGAATTCAAATAGAAACTTAGTTCTTCGAGTTTACTGGAAAATATGTGCAATGTAAATGTCTTTTTGGGTAATTGTAGCCGTTTATTTTAAAAATATATTATAAGAATATCGATGAATGCTTTATGCTACATAATAATTTTACAGGCACTATATTAAGTAGTTAAGTATTATATATATATATATATATATATATATATATATTTATGTATATACTCATGTGTGTATGTGTAATATACATTTGATATGTATATACATATATAATATATTTTACAACTGTCATATTCTTCTCTCTATGAGGAAATGAAAATTTTTATATGTTTGCATCATCTTTAAAAATTCATTGGAAAATTACATTCATTGGAAAATTCATATTTATATATGATATAATTAAAATTATATAATTATATGATAAAATGCAATTAAATAAATATGTTCATTATGACTGTCATTTTACAAAAATAAATAGTTATGTTTTGACATAATTTTATAACAATTTGGACAATAATAACTGGGCAAAAATAATACATAGTGCTTGTTGGCTTAAAATTGAAAATATTGATATTTATGTTAAGGCTTGACTTAATAAAAAGAATAAAATTTCTATATTTAAACAATATTTTTAATACCTTTTGGTATGCTTTTCTTTCTCTATAGGCAATGATATCATGGAGACTTCGCTTTTGGTTTCGTCTTTCACAAGCAATCCGCATGCGCATGGGCAGAACTGATAAATAATTTCATATAATTATACGGAATTTTGTTTTCCTATAACTATTTCTTGCGCTTTATCTAGACTGATATATGCAATATGCAATATAAGTTTCACAAAAGATTTTTTATACTATATCTATATATTTCACTTTTATAGTGACTTTTGACTATTTTTAAGTCTCTACTATTTTCGATTATATTTTCTTTTATCAAAGTGAATTGAGTCACCAATATTTTTTACGAATAAAGAGCTTTTACAAATTATTTAAGCTTTATGTTATTATTTAAGCTATTATTACGCTTTTATTATTATTTTTTAACGGCAAATATATAATATAAATAACGCATTATTTTTCTTCTTCTTGACAATTACATAATTCAAGGACTTTAATTAACACTATTAACTAATTAACAATATTTAACATTAAATATATGCCAAAAAGAGAGAGCGAGAAATAATTAACTTAATACTATGGCTTTAAAAAATCAGCACTTATCACAGTATATTACAATATACATATATACATATATATTTATGTGTGTGTGTACACACACACACACACACACACACACACACACACACACACACACACACACACACACACACACACACACACACACACACACACACACACATATATATATATCATAAAATTATATTTTATTAAAATATAATTTTATTATATCTTATCTAATTTTCATTAATGTTAAAAAACAACAGTTAAGCATTATTTTCTCGAACGTTTTTCTTAGCATAACGAATAATAAATTAAGATTACCATTTCGCGAGTAAGCGTCGATGCATTTTGAGTAAAAGAAATTGTGGATTGAGAAGGATTGGGCGTTGTAGTTCTCGAATTTTGCTGTGTTAACTTTGTTGATTTTAACATCTTGCTGACATTATGTTCACGTTTACTATCTATATTGAGTATAACAGTCATAAATCAGGGATAAATCTATTATATTGATTGATAGTCTGTTGATATTTTATCACTTATAAAGTAAAGTCTATTTTTTTAACTTACCAACATGTTTTAGCACTTGAGTTATATTATCATGCCTTTGAGATTCAGTTTGACATATTGGACAAGTGGTTTGGTCAGAAGAAATTCGTCTTATAAACAATAATTTTGATTTTAATCCGCTCCGATCCATATCAATCGATTGGGTTTTCGAAATAATTTCTTGATGTCCTTTTATGAATGTTATTATATTACTTAATTTTTTTGGAAGAAAAATAGTTTCAAAAATATTTTCAAGAAGAAGTTATAAAGAAATTATTACACTACTTTTTTCTTTTTCAGCAGACAAAGTAGCTTTATAGGGGGCTATTTTAAGAAACGTATTATTAAATGCCTTTAACGTGATGTTATAATCGCAATTATGATAGTCTTTTCTTTTTCTATCAAACTCTTCCGATTCTTCTAAAGAATTCTTTAGGTGAAGCGCAACGCCACAAAGTGCACAAACCGAGGAGGGTGTGGTCGCGAGGTTTAATTTTGATTTATTCCGTTGCTAATAATAATTATTTTTAATTATTATTGATTTCTTTCAATTATATTCTATCTTTGTCGCGCATGTAGCACACACAGATGTATTTTAGAATAAAGCATTCATTACTTGATCACTTCCTTTGTATTGCTCTGATTCGGGATAGCGCATTTGAGAACCTCTCTTCCATCGTTCCTCTATATCATTTACGATCAACTGTATCAATCTTATCGTGGATTTCTTAACTGTTTGCAGTAAGTCGTGAAATATCGTAATCTATGTTAGCAATTTATTATTTTCCTTTAATGCAGGGTAATATCAAGTAATATTATAAATTAAATATTAAATAAATTAAATAATACAATTAAACAATTAAATAATAAAAAACTAATTATCATTTTATGTAATACTTATTAATACGCAAAAATTGGCACAAATATTGTCCTATAGGAATATTAAAAAAAAGATTTTTTACAATATTATTATTTTTAATAACATTATATAATTTTTAATGTTCAAAAAGTAGTCATTATTTATGTTAACTTACATACTTAATATAATAACTTTAATTCTTTATTATTTGACATGTTATAACGATAAAAGGAGTTATATATTAATTGTATACAGAAAATGTGAAAGACATATTTTTTCATTAAAACAATTTACAAATTTGTACATTTGAAGCAAACTTAATATATATTTACATTGTCATCTTTCTATAACAATATTTTATAATTATTAAACTAGTGTTTAATAATAACTGTAATATGTTTTTTTAAATTAATATATAAAAGTTAGGAAGAAGTTTTGTACAAACAACTTAATAATATTTTATATTGGAAATCTGTATGTATATATATTGGAAATATTTGTATATGTACATACAAGAAAATGTCACCTACTTGAACATGATTGTCATCTAAAATATTAGATAAACAATAAGGTCTATCTAATTCTCTGCAAAAGCGATATGCAGGACAAAATTGTATTTTAGATAACGAATCCGTTGCTGAATCATGATTCATCAGCATAATGTTTTGTTTTGATGGAATTCCAATCATGAAAGAATTATGCCTTGCGATATCTTTTGCAACATCACACACATGTGTCATTTCCATCGTTCTTATAATCTGATGTAAATACAACCTAATCTGAAATAATAGCGGCATAATATATATGGTAGTTTGCTTTCAAAGGAACAGTGATCAGTGATGATTCCTGATAACATCGAGCCATTTTTGTACAATTTCATATTATGTCATGTTTTTGATACCAATTCTTTCCAGTTGTGTCAGCATGAAATTTGAAACTCGTCGAGTTTCATTTTCGACGTTAGTGGCAAATTTCATAATATGATTATTTACATTATTATTAACCTAGTCTCAATTTCAAAATCTTTGTAAATCATGACTGATTTCTCACAAAAACAAGTAGTTGCTACAATAAGAAGCGATGTAAATATATCTGCGAATAAAATTAATAAATCTAATAAAATGAGTTATTGGAAGCAAATGTTAAAAAGCTACGAAAAAAGAAACGCGTCATTGGAGAGAAAACGCAGCGCACTCGTCGAAAGAATACGTTTCATAGAATGTACGTTGCCATTTTTATTAGTGAGCGCCGCTGCATCTGCCGTTTATAGTAAACGAAAAATTTTCGATGAACAATCGAGAATCCTTGAAAACACGTCCAAATCCACCGCTCAAAAAACTTAATAGTTTAACAAAGCATTACAGAGAACGAGACAACTGTAAATAAAAAGGAACTGGTAATAAAAAGGAAGCAAGTAACACATTTGCCTAAAACGAAATATAAATCTAGTAGCATATATGTATGTAAGTACATATAAATGCCATAATAATAACATAGTCAACTAAAATTTATATTATTTTCATTTTACCATATAATTTTTCACATATATATTGTAAACAGTGATCCACGTGGGATGGTCAGGTAGAAAAGCAAGAGTATAATTCTAACGTAAATAATGAGAAATAAATCTTTATTGCGAACTATCGAAAAATATGGTGGTCAGAGAGGATAGCCGTAGTCGATCCGATTCGAGGTAATAATCTCCCAAATTTTCTGAGTAAAGGACTCTTCCGATAAATTGCAGTGTGAGAGTGCGATTTCGAATTCCCGTCATATATAAATTCGAGAAGATTCTCCCTGCGTCCGAATATCGAGTCAATTGCTTCATTACTATTTGACGCTGCTATATTAGTAGGTAATATTTCGTCCATTTCGATTCTATTTCGCGGGAGGACAACATCTGTCTCGAAACGAGAAGAGGTGCTTTTGATTCAAAATAAACAACACTAAATGGACGTTGGATTAATATCTTTCGTCAAAACATATTTAAATTCATATTATCGTTTACATATATCAGTTTTTTCTAACAACGTATATAATATAACAACATCTAATTTCATGGTATATTTTTTGTCTATACATCCACACTCCCACAAAAAAGATCTGTATATAATGTATAATCAAATGTGAATATATATATATATATATATATATATATATGTAAAATTATGAAAAATATATCCATATACATATCTTCTTTTTTTATGTCTCTATAATATCTGTACATATGTATAAAAAAATAAGAATATAATTTTTGTTCATATATATTATATAAAAATTTATCCTTCTCATATATACACAGAGAGATTATATAAGAGAAAAAAAACATTTTATATATAATTATTTATATCTTTCGTTATATATGCACTTTATTTTGTCGGATTATTAAAACTTCTTCGCTTGCATATATATAAAAACAATATTTAATTTATATAATTACTTTAAAGATTAATAATTTTTAATAATAAGAAAGGGAATGGACGTAAAAACAAATAAACAATTTTATTTGAGATTATGTTTCTTAGAGACACACGTATGAGAGATAAAATCAATTTTATGATATAACGATCCTGAAAGAAGTGAATCATAGCGCTTGATCAGACTCGAAATCATTTCCACTTTAAAAATTTACAGATTACGGATTTAAATACAGTAAGCGCGCATATATATATATATATATATATATATATATATATATCTTATAAAACATTAAACTTGTCTACGGTCATATGTTGAAACACGTAATATGTTTAACGATTTAACAAAAAAATAGAAGACTAGAGACACGTTTTATTATATATATCGCAATTATATATATACAATATATATATATATATATATATATAGTGTGTGTGTGTGTGTGTGTGTGTGTGTGTGTGTATGTGTGTAGTATGTGTGTATAATCCTGTTTGAAGAATATGTATATGTGCGAGTCTACTCAAATTATTCAAAACAACAATCCCCTACATACTTAAAATATTGGATGAAAAAATTGCTGAGGCATGATGACCTATTATGCATACTTATGTATATATATATATATATATATATATATATATATACATATATAATTAAATATAAGTTAAATATATAAACAGGCACATATACATATTTTTTTATACATATAAAGACACACGCAAACTGAACATAATTTTATAAGATTTCATTAAAATTCACGACATTCGATAATTTCAATGGTTTTATGATTATTCCGCTATATTCGATATATATATTTTATATTTTTCATTATATATTGGTGAGACAATTTTAGAAAATAATTAAAAAAAGATATCAAGGAAAGTAAACTAATTTGTTGAGAAAATATATTCTCTGTGATATATACATAATTATACGACTAATTAAACAATTCTTTGATATATAATTTTTGATATATAGATTCTTAAGATATATAGACTATAGATAAAACAGAATTTTCAGTGCAAATGACACAGACATGTTTTTGTTGATTGCTCAATACGTATTAATCGGATTATTAATTGCGTATTAATTTGTAATATATTGCAGTATATGTCATTTTGTACTTGTTCCTACATAATATATTTTTTGTCATTTTAAATTTAAATTTGCATCGAGAGACGCATATTTAAACTTTAATATGTAAAAAATAAATTACATATTTAGAGATACATCGACACAAGAACATATCTGTTTAGAGTATTTATTGTCAATCTGATTCTTCTCTTGGCGTATCTCTATTATGAATATGATTTTTTATTATTACATATATTTTGAAACGTGTAAGATTATTTCGCAAAAATGCTTTAATTTACGCTCGCGTGGAAGAGAGTAATCTACGGCTTATTTGGCACTTGATTTCACAGCTTGTACAAAACTGTTGATCGTGATATATGAGGGGATGAAATACGTCAAACCGAGGATCATTCGCAAGCGCCCTTGTTTCTTTTTAGAACGTACCATTTCTGATCGTTACTTGGGCACACCAAGCAGCGCCAGCCGTATTGTCCTAAAAATAAGAAAAAAATCTTTGACATGGAAATACACCGCGATAAACTATAGTTGTAAATAATAAGAATTGAAAAATTATTAGATCAGTAATATCAATTATGTATACTATAATATAATAAATAACATGCTTCTTATTCTACATGCCTTTATTTTATTTATAAATGTGATATCGCTTTATAGATTTAAATTCATATTATTCTAGATATTATTGCATTTAAATTGACATTATTATTCAAATTTATTTAAAGTCCGTATTTCAAAATGCCAACAAAACTAATTACACAATTTGGGCTTTATTAACATTTTAATAAATATTTAAAAGATTTAATTTACCTCATTCGTGCCACGAGGGCATATCTATGGGTTTATTGTTTCTTCCGTGGAACTCGTCGGATAAATAAACGGAATTTGGAACGATGAAAGACGAAGGAAAGCTTTTTCTCATTTTTATCTCCAACGAAAGTAGATCACTTGCTGTAAAATATACATATGATGAAACGATATTTTGTTTCCCGTACAACATAAGATCTTTTACCTATAACTATATTATAGTAATTTTGTATAGTATAATATATATGCTGAAGAAACATTGTAAAAGCATGAAATTGCAAAATCTCAACGAGATTGTAATAATGTTGCAGAAATATTTTAAAAATATTGTAGACATATAATGTAATACATTGCGCAATCTTACAATAAAATATTTTTATAATGTTTTTTGGAATCTTTTTGTGTTGTATGGATCTTAACTCTTTTGTTGTATTAAAGAGATAGATTGTACATATTCTTAAATATTCATTATATATATATATATATATATATATATTCATTATATTATATCTACATTAAAAACAATCATAATTGCTATAAAACTGGTGTTTTTAATTGGAATTTGCAATACAATACTAATGTATTATGACCAAATGTAATGAAAAGATTAAACAATACCATTAAATGTTAAACTTTGATGCATATTCTTTTCTCAAAGCAAAGCAATGCAATTTTAATTCAAAACAAAATTAATATCGATTATTAACACTATATTATTATCGACTATTAATACTATTACTTTTCCGTAAACATATCCATGCCATAACGATCAATTCCGCATGAGATAGATGAAAAAAATAGGAGAAGAGAAGCATAATCATTACCATCACCAACTAATATTAAGCGTACAATATATAATATCATATAAACAGAAACATGTATACAGTACTATTATAATCCAAATAATTAATAATTTTAAATATAAATTGATAATTTTTAAATAATTTTAAAAGTTTCGATAAACTAGATACACAAAAGATTGTAAAAAGCATATTAAACTTAATAATTTTGAAAATAATCATAATTATTATCGTTTTATTTTTGAGAATATTAATGTTATAGAACTTGATTTTTAAGATAAAAATATAAAGCTTTAAAAATATAATATTACTTTATTTTACTTTATTATTCTTTACTTTACTTTATTATTCTTTATTTAACTATAGACATCATAATTAAATAAAAAGTTTGTCGAGTAATAATCACGTTTTAACATAATATAATTATATTACTTTAATACAGCATAATCCTCGCACTGTTCAGAATTTTCACAAATCAATGAATATATACATACATACATACATACATACATACATACATACATACATACATACATACATACATACACACATACATACATACATACACACATACATACATACATACATACACATATACATACACACATACTCTTTTCGACATTTTCGAATCGAATACAAATAAATTCATTGGTCGTCTGTCTCATATGTGTGTGTGTATATATATATATATGTACGTTCAAAGACGTAAAGTAGATATATGGTTGGTTAACTTTTCTTCTCCTTCTTCCCCTCACCTCCTCATCATCCACACTTTTTTCCACGACCTCGGTCTTCTTCATGTTTGACATTATTTTCTGGGAGCCGTTGTTCCTCTATCGCGCGAAAAAGTTTCCATCTTCTCTTCAAAACTATACATCAATTCGGGCAAGCACTAGTTTTCATTTACAACGCAAGCCTAACTTTTTTCAATGTGAAAATGAAATTACAGTAAAAACTCACTAAACATTATCGAATTTTCTAAATCATGCCCATTTTATTATAGTTCATTATTAAAAATTCGACACAACACGGCCATAACAGTTACACGCAAATTTCTTGATATAAGACTAACGGATAACTTTTTCGTTCGAAAGAAACATCACGAGTAAATCTGACATTTGTCATTCTCGCTGTTTTCGCGGGTCGTATTTCATTATTTTTAATTCGCCTTCGTCTAACCTTCTTTTCCGAATCGTTTTTGGTAAGCGATTCGGAATCAATAACGATCGGTTCTTCGATTTCAGGTAATTTCACTTTATCTTCTTTCTTCTTCTTTTCTAGGGATACAAGCTACAAGACAAATACAATATATACAATTTATTTATTACTTATTTTAAATTAAACAGTCTATTCTTCGTTATATATATATATATATATATATATATATATATAAATAACACTTTGCCAACTGTTCGAATTACGCCTGATTAAACACAAAAGCCGGTGCAAAACATATCTGACATGAATTTAAATTTGTATAACTCTTATAATATGAAAATTCAAAAGGATCTCCGTCTTGGCGTGGTGGAGGGACTTAGGATCGCATCGGAGCCACTCGTTCAGAGATGGTATTGAGTGTGACAAACGAAGAGAGAGATCTCCTAAGCTAAAGTATTTGTGATCATGCCGACGACTGCGTGGCGCAGGAGATGCTGCATCGCGAATGTCCCCTCGGATATCGGGCATCTTCCGGGTGTATATGGCCAAGCTCCAGCTATTCGCGACATTCGCTGGGTGAGAACACACATCCGCGGTACTTGTGGGATTAACATAGACACGATCGAAAGAAAAATAAAAACCAAAAGCTCTGATTTAAATAAAGTACTCCAGGGCGTGGCTTCTCTAGAAGAGCGAACGACCGGAAGAATCAAACTCGGGCTCAATTAGAGACCGATCCAAAACCCGAGTTAAATATAGTCGAGTGGCTGGACATTGCTATACGAGTAAAAAGCAGCTTCAGAGAGAGAGGGAAACTACTAAAGTCCAAACCGCTCTCTTTGAGGCTGCTTTCCTGGACTGAGGGAAGTGGGACTCCGGCTGCGATACCTAAACATGCTTGACTGAAAATCGCACCCCCACAGACATTCACCAGGACAAACAATCCAAAATCAAGGATGATATGCTCAAGCGGCTTGATCGAGGATAATCCTCACTTTGAGAGGTTATTCTCATAGACAATTAGGTGTCGAAGAAAGTAATACGATTATGAAAATTATCAGTGATTTGCTAACTTGTCCTCTTTATGTAGGAAATCAAATATGCCTCTTCGCTCATTGGCAGCTAATGATGGTATCCAGATATGTGTAAATTGATAATTGCAAATATAGAATGATAGAGATTAAATAATAAAATCTTGACGCTTATCATGTTTATATTAAGTGCTTATTGCGGATTAAGGTGCGAAAAATATATTTTAAACTTGTCATTCAGTGATGCGCCATAAAACGAATAGATCTACCTGAACAATCGGCAATGTGTTAAATTTAGCAGATTGGCACATAGAATTGAAAAATCTCACGAAAATTATTTAAATAAAAACGTTAATTTTCGAGGAATCAAAAAAGAATTATACAATCGAGTTAAATATAGAATTGATGTAAATTACATACCGTGACATTGCACTGCGCTCCCAAGACACTCCGCTGATCGAAATTATCCACGTTATCCTGATCTTGGCATCGAGACACAATCATATTCATCCATGTTTCTACGGTTTGAGTAGATCGCGTGCAATTTATATTTTTCAGCCGATTTTGTACATCTTCCAAATTCTCTAAAGTTTCTGGAATTTGATATCTATTATGCTCCATATTTTTTATTTGTTCCGTAATAGGTTTTCCATCTTTATGTCCATTTTCCCTGAACTTAGACTTCGCGATGTTTCGTAACTCATTCTCCAACCAATATATCTTTTCTGTAAGTCTATAATTTTCATCCAGCAACTCCTCTTCTCTTTGTTTCGACAGTTGCTTCTCTCTTTCTCCATCCATTTCGGTTTTCTTGTAAATCTCAAGTCTCTCTTCGAGGTCGCGAATGCGTTCCTGATAGGAAGTCAACTGAACTATTGAATCCACTGCCGATACATCGAAATAGATCTTAGATGAATCAATTGGATGAAAAATCGATGTTGTAATCTTAGCCGCACGTTCCTGAATTCGAGCTCTTAACTCCTGGAGACGCTGCACTTCCTGAAGAAGTTCGCCGGATGGTACATTCGTTTGAGTGCTACGATCGGTAAACTCAACTTCGAGTAAGCTTTTTTCGTCTTCATGTTCCTCTTCCTCAAAAATACCGCTCTCCTGAAGAGTAAGTGGAGGCTTGCACGGTAACACGGGTGACGCGGATTTCACAGAGTTCACTAATGTAGTGTTGTTTGTATAAGGTATTACAGTCGCCACAGCGCGATTTCTCTGTTGGTTTGTTAGATGAGTCTGAAATTGTAAAAAATACAAAAAATTTTGCAATAAGCTATAAATATTCTATTTAAATACCTAATTATTGTATGATTTATATTAATTAATTTAAATTTTTCAGATAACTCGAAACAAACTTTCGCTCAAACTTACTTTGTTTGCGTGAACAGGTTCCGGCGAAATGATGCCGCTGTCCACTGCGTGATCAAGACTATCTTTACGCACAGATGTTTCTTCTAATTCGAGCAATCGAAATTCCAAGAGCTCATTTTGCTCTCGTATTTCTGAAAGCTCTACTAAAAGTGTTGCTTCTCGTTCCTCAGCAGCTCGAAGTTTATCATTCAGCTCGCTCACCTCCTTATTACGATCAACACATCTCTGTAAAAAAAAAAGAATACAGATTTTTTTTACAAGAACCTTTCAGATATAGCAACTATTTAATCTACGCGCAATGATACAAATTGAACAAACGTAGAAGTAATAATAAGAATCAATTTCTAACAATTTGTGTTACTGAAGAGAAAATATTTAACATGTTCTCGGGTAATAATTAATCATGTATTATGATCTTAAAAGCAAATAACTAAAAAGATATGATGTATTTAAATAATTTGTACCTCTTGTAAGAGTGCTTTCTCCAAGTCACAAATTTGAATCTTGGCATACGAAAATTCCCGTTGCTCTTTAAGAAATTTTGACTGTAACTCTTCGATCTCGACAAGAATGGCCTCGTATGCTTCTTTAGTAATACCATTATTCTGCCATTGACCGTAGCCTCCAGGCTGCGGTGACATCGAAGATGGGGCACTGGACAAAGCACTGTCGTCATCTTCATGATCTTCTTCGTCATCGACTTCGGCAACTGGTTCCAATTCAAGCCATTGTTTATAAAACTCCTCCTTCTTTTTCTTGTTTGATAATTGCTCTAATTTTCTTTCTTTTTCCTTAACAGAAAAAATACTTGGTTTTTATATTTTCCAAACATTATTTCGAGAGAGATGTCTGACATTATTTAATTATGTGAATATTAACTATTTTATTTATTTCTTTTTTTTCAAAATCTTATTTTGTATAAATCAAAAATAATATTTTCTTCAAATTTTTAATTTGTATCAACTCTCTTAAGAAAAATCCATTACCTTAATTGTCTGTTTAAGTTTTTCGATGATTTCCTGCTGTTCAAGTGCAAGTTCACGAAGACGTTCGACTTCGATTTCATTTATGGCTTTATCAGATTCTACTGCCCGAATATATGACTCCACCTTACAATTAAATAACATACCATATCTTAGTAGTTTATGTCATTAAACATTTTTATTGTAATAATAGATATGTAAATAGTCATTAAAAAATAATATTAGAAATATTAATATAAAAATAACAATCTTACAGAAATAATTGATGCTACAAATATAAATTTTGCATAAGTACGTACATCAGAGAAACTACTTGTAAAAATGATACCTATTAACGACAATCTCATACCGTATGGCCATCGTCTGGGAAAATTTTCTTTTTCATGTAAGATGCATTGGTCGATTGTATTGGTCGGTTTCTTTCATTTTCCCGTAATTTCCGCATCTGTAACATTATAAAAATAATTAATTCTTAACAGGACATTTTGATACGATAACTGCTTCTGCAAATGAAAAAATATTCTGTATTTCTCTGCGTTATATAAAGAATCTGAAAAACAATCTGAACAAATTAATTTTTACAGAATATATATATATATATATATATATATATATATTCTATATATATATATATATATATATATATATATATATATTATAGAATATATATATATATATAGTTATAAATATACATCAAACTTCAAATAAAAAGTATAATTGCATAATTAAATTTCGCAAGATATTCCAGACGAAAAATCATTCAATCAATAAAAAATAATAATATTTGGTGACATTGATAAGAAAGGTCATATTTTCTTACCTTAACAATTATAATTATTTCTCAATGTTTTGTTTAATGATGAAAATATTATTTTAATCATTTATAAAACAATTTGCCAAATAAGTAATTAATAAATTTATAGAGAAAAACAATTTATTATAATTTTCTTTTGAATTTATGTGACGCTTCTTAGTATTTTTGTCAGAAGTAGTAGAAATGTATCGTAAATGTTTCAGCAATTTACGGTCTTCCGGGTTAATATCATGATCCAACGCGATGTATGCAACAAGACGGAAAAGACCGTAAGAGGAGAGAGGAAAGAAAAGCAGACGAATCGCATACTGCAATGGGTTACGAGAGAGTTTTAAAAGCCTGACTGGACCGTTAACTTGGCCCCCTGACATACAGCCATAGTCTTTTTCTTCTCCTCTCGTTTCTCACTCTCTCCCTCTCTTTCTTTCAGCTTCCTTCCTCTTCAGGTAATATCAACCTGTAGCATGTGTACGTAAGAGATGCGCCGAGAAACGATTGCACCTTACACACTTGCTAGCCGCGTTGCACGTGATGATGCACTTTGCGCCATATATGTAAATCGTAGGACACACGTGCTCGTTGTATCAGAGTTTCTCCTCTCTTCGGGGCCGGATTGACTATATCGGATATAAGACATATTAGGACAGGTGAAACGAGCGCGTCATGCATTACCGTTATCTGTGTTTCGCCGCTCATCTCATCTCATTTTGCGTGTCTCGACGTTATCTTATATTTATCTGACATTTGTACAGTTATTGGAATTGACGCTAAAAATAATTAGCGAATTCAATGTGAGCGCAAAAGTAATATTATTTTAAGGCTACTTTACAAAACTACGAAAATGATAAAACTGCGTGAAATGAATTTTACTAATAAACATGCCCGTAAAAAAATTATATTCGGATTCTACAAGAGAAATTTCACATAAATATAAAATATAATAGTAACAGAGTACATATAATTCCAATAATGACCCATTCATATATACATATATACTCCCACACTTACATACATCATATGTATATCATATGTATTTTATGTATCATATGTTAGATAATTCTATCTCTTACCTAAATAAAGATTTGTTTCATATTTTTTTAACTATAAAAATTTTAATTCTTGAAAAGTATTTTTTGTTTGTGATAGTGAATAATTGATGAATGCAAACAACTTTTTCTTTGTCTAAATCGAATTGTTAATAATAAAAAAGTGTAATTGAAAGCGTAAAATATAACGATCATATATCATAGTTTCCATAAAATGTAAATAATAAATTATATATATAATATATTATTTTATATATATATATATATCATAGTTTCCATAAATAATATACCTATATATATATATATATATATATATATATGTATATATATATAGGTATATTATTTATATTTTATGGAAACTATGATAATCGTTATATTTTACGCTTTCAATTACCCTTTTTTACCATTAACAATTCGAGATATACATATATATATATATATATATATATATATATATATATATAATTAAATATATATACATATATAATTCATTTTATATATGTTATTTTTATTGATTTATATCATTATTTCATATTCGACAACTTTTGACACACACCATGTATAATGCATAAGATCTCATAAAATTCTTTTTAAATCAAGAATTATTATTAAGAATTTTATGCACAGGTGCTCTTTAGCTTGTAAATATGATATTTCTAAGAGGAATAATATATCTATAAGATGACACGAACATGTCTATATTTAGAATCTGCGCCGCGATTTTACCATTTATATAAAATTTAATAATTTTTTCTATTTATAGATTAAATTTTTGAAAAATTATGTCTCTTTTTCATTGAAGAGTCTCGCACATGTGGCATCTTGACCCATACCATTCTCAGTATGTGGTCTCTCGTCTCACTTTCACCGATCGTTTTTCGCCCCCGCTTACAATCTTCAACAATCGCGACTGTGCGTTTCTCGAATGGCTCGTGTATTTCTAATATACTATCATTTATTGAGAATCAGTGAAACTTCTTTAAGAATGCAATTATATTTTTCGATTTTTAAATTGATTTATGATAAAGATTCATGTTTCATATTTTTATTGTAAAATATGAATTAACAGCTTTTTAATATGATTAAAACAATAGGGAATAAAGATTAGAAGAGAGAATATCCTTTTTCGATATTAATCTTTTGAATATTCATCTATATTTTAACTTTGGTATAAATGTTATTAATAAATGTTATTAAAGGTAAATAAATGTTATTAAAGGTAAAATTAATTGGAGTGAAATAAAGCAACATAGATATTATCAGCTCTCTGTGATATTGATTAAAATATCAAAATTAAATTTTGTAAAAATTTAAATTATCAATATATATTTATTTGTTTTTCGTATATATTTTTTTTCTATGTGAAAATGTGAATCTAAGTCGTGGTCTAATGCTGAAAATATTTTTTATATAAATAATAAGTAAAACTTTTGTATTTTATTAATTTAGAGGTGGCACAATTAGAGAATGCATAAAATAAGAATAGAAAAAAAAATTTCTGGAAAACAATTATTTTGCATTGTCAATAGCAATTACTCGTCTCTTATTAATCAGAACTATTTATTATTAATCAGAACTATTGTATACTGTTTATCGCACTTAAAGCGTCAGTTTTATTTTTATTATTAGTTTTTATATGTTTGTATATATTTCAACATATAAAATCAAAATATATTTGCATATCTAAAGAACATGTCAGATAATAAAAGCGCGTAAATAACATTATTCTTTCTACAAGATTATTCTTTTTCTGTTCATTCTCGTTACGCTAAAAAAAGAAATTATTAATTAGTGATACGTGTCTATCGCGCGCGCGTTGCTCACATATTATTAATAATGCAACCGCAATGATTGGATTGAAATTATATAGCATCTCATGATGGAAGACGTGTGACTACGTAAGCATTATTCTCCCACATAAAGCTGCGGTAGCTGCGTTTCGTACCTGTATAGAGATGTTGCCTGAGGCATATCATGTGACTTGATTATGAACTTGAAGATCTGCGTGATGCATTCTTCTTTCAGTGATATTTGTTCTACATATGTTGTGTATATGTGTATACATACACAACAATAATTTTTTGTAATAAAGATAAAAAAACATCCATAATGCTATATTTTTATCAAATAGAGTGTAAGATAGGACTTTGAAGGTTATTTATAATTACTTACAGACTTTTATATATAATACTAGATCGCTAAAAGCAATATTAAAAGTGACATAAGAACCACATCTATTGAGCAGAATATATAGATTGGGCAGCTAAATGTGTTATAAGTTATTGGCATATTTCTCATATTTATATGTATATATGTACATATGAGGCATCATGAAGAGATCAATTAACCGAAATATAACTATGTAATTTTATGAATGCTTTGCTTTTATTATAGTTTCTTGTAAAATAAAAAATAGCTTCGTAAATAAAAGATTCGTCGAAATAATGTCGATTATTTTATTTACTAATCTATTTGCGGGAATTTCTGTTCAATAAACCAAGGCTAAACGAAACAAAATTGAAGCTATTGTTAGACATGTAGAAAAATTACCGAATAGTGATTCTCTGGCAAGCTAATTCAATCTGATATCGTGGCCATGACTTTGATGTTGCCCATTAATATGTACGTTTATATCATATACATATTCGTATCTCTATATTGTGAAATTGAGAACTTTCTTTCAAGAAGTAGCTCATCGAAAGCGGTGGCGTCATGATATGTCGAGAGGGTACTTGGCTACTGATACGTCGCGCGCTGTATCCCTGAAGTTCTATCGATCCTCAAGAAAAACTCGAGATAGAATCGAAGGAAGAATGTATGGCCGTTCCACTTGCAATCGAGACGAAAAGGAAGCGCATCCGGCGAAATAACAATTCCGTTTAAAGTTCTAAAAGGATTACTGCCGCCTTTCTCTCTTCGCCTTCTTTCACGCGCCGTAGAGTTCATTGAAATTCATCCCGAATACTGCTTCGAAGGAGGACACAATGAAAGATAAGTTAAATGCTTAAGGCATACTTATGTATCCGTTTGTGCCTATATGCATATCACGATATATGCAGATATTCCTCTATGATATACACCCTCGTACTTACAAATATATTTTCTAAGTAATTAGTAAATTTACTATGAATTTATGTGTATTTGAATCTATAATTTTAATTATCAATTGCTTATTGTTTCTTCGTCCTAAAATAGTATCAATCAAACGTTATTATTTCAATCTCGTGAAACCGTTTTTCCATTTTAATTAATCTTAATCTTTTCAACGTAATTAGATTGAAAAGGGCTATTTCTCCAAGCAATAGCAAAATATTAATTTACTTGAGGGAAAAATTTTTGTCAGAAAATTTTAGAATATAATAATGTTATATGTATATATTTTACTTCATATAAATCAATTCATATTTGTATACAATTTTATAAATTAATGAAAAATTGATTAAGATTTATGTTAATAATTTAACGATAAAATAAATTGCTATGTCTTGATGTTTTGATGTGTACAATAAAAAATTTTAGTGATATACATAGTGACACCATATACATAGCTTTACAGGTACAAGTACTATATGTGAATATGGAAGT